GTCTCTTCTTCACTCCAACTGATGTTTTTATCACCATTTGACATTTTCCTCTTCAAACGCTGAAACGGCATATGCACGCCATGTGTCATTTCAGCGTTTGAAAGGGAAAATGTTAAATTTTGTCTGTGACTGTCAAAATGAGGTCCGCTGTTGGTAACATTCTAACACGCGGACATTTCAAGATTAGCACTGCAATGTGGGTTAAACACATGATTATGCTTTGCACAAAATGTCTAAGCTGCAAAACTGTTTTCAATGTTGATTATCATATTATAATGACAAAAATAACAAAAATAAAAAAATAACCATCACAAAAAAAATTTACATTTTAAAACATATTCAAATTGAAAACAGTTGTTGTAAAATGTAAAAATATTTCACAATATTACTACTATTTTACCATATTTTTGATCATATAATTGCAACCTTGATGAGTATTCTTTTTAAAACATTTAAAATCCTACCAATCTAAATAGTAGTATAAATTGTTCAAAGATCATAATTCTGTATGAAAGAGCTCTATATTTGTTGGGGTGACATTAAGAATACCACTGTTCACAAATGAACACCTACACATTCTAGCTACTATAAAAAACACACACCTACTGAAAATCCACTATATTTGAACACAAGAACTGACTCAGATCCATCTAATTGTACCACAGTGATTCTTAAATCTTTTAGATGCATTGTCCTCCTGAATTTCATCCAGAATCGCTCAATCACATGCAAATGTCTCCAGCGTCCCTTCCGAGCTCATCTGCGTAATCTCATAAACGCATTCTGAGCACACGGCACTGCTAACCAGACCCAATTACCCTTTGTGATCATCTAATTGGCCCCTTTTTCTAATGCTAATTCAAAGCAACAATCGCAGATTGTCTGTTTATGTATGCGTTTTCTGTTTGCTTCAGTATCCATGCCAGCTGGTCAGTGCACACATGCTCAAACATTTCGGCATTTACGACTTGATTTCTCATTCTGGTCTCGAGATGCTTTATCGTCCCCATTGGAAATGACAGTAAATAAACAGAATGCCAGGCAGCTCAGTGTGTGTGTGTGTGTGTGTGTGCACTTGGTTTCATTTGAATTGGTAGGGCCATCAGGCTCAGATGTGAAATTACTTGGAGCAATTAGCTTTAAGTGTTCATGGCCTTTAAAGTCAAAATGAAATCATAATGGAAAATTTGCATTTTTTTTTAATGCAGTATTTACTTTACGTGATTTATCTGAAGAAATAACAAACCACAATGATCCAATCAAATCCCAATGGAGAAAAACAAATCTTACATTTGGTCAAGCCGTTTTACTCGGATATTTGTCACAATATGGATTAAAAAAGACTTCCATTTCATGCCGACTTTAAAGTCAACATCAATTCTTAATGCAAATTCCTTGTTCTATTGTGTTGCTCCACCTTCTGAAATATCACATTATGGAAGTCAAATGGCAAATATTTTATGTTAAGTTTAAGTCTTCTGCATGAGAAGTCCAACATTTGGCTTCTCTCTCAGTAGCATGAAACCTTCTGCAATTATGTCCTTCTGCTCTTGCTTGGGGCTATTAATGCATTTTTCCACATTATTGGCATTCCTAAGGTGACATTGTAGCATATCATATAAGATGCCTGCTTGATGTCTTTCTCCATCCCACCATCTCTCTCTCTCTCTCTCATCCAACTGTATTCCGTAATTCCACTCATTTGTTGGCACACTCCATCAGGCAGTGTCACAGTCAGCACTTTAGAGCAGCGATGGTGCATTAAGAATCTCGCTGCCAGGCGTTCTTTTATTTGTTAGTATTCACAGCAGGGACAAAGCTGTTTTTTATCTTCTCCTGTAGTCTCTTAAAGGAGTAGTTCACCCAAAAAGGAAAATCATTTACTCACCCTCATGTTGTTCCATACCCGTATCTCTTTATTTCTTCTGCGGAACATAAAAGGAAGCATTTTAAAGAATGTACTAGTTGTTACATCTCAAAGAGGCACTGAATCACTTTCACTGATCTTCACCTTGACTGTTCCCTGCTGGTAGAATGACCTGCCTAACTCAATCCGAGCTGCTGAGTCCGTTGCCATTTTCAACAAAAGCATCAAACTAATATTGATGCACCTTGTCAAGTGGTGCATCAATTTATGATCCAGATCTTGTATTGACAATGCAAGAGTCCAGCACTCTGTATAGTCTATTCCAGCACATGTCAAAGACTTTAAGGTCTGGACAATTCATGTGTGAAAATGGTTCTTCATGCTCCCTCCCAACCATTCTTTCACAATTTAAACATTGTCATCCTGGAATATGGCCTTGATTTGTTTTCATACATGGTTGTTTAAGACACAGTGGATAAGACACATGTCTTTGGTGTGAGAGACCCGGGTTCGAATCCACTGTGAGACACCAATGTGTCCTTGAGCAAGACACTTAACCCCTAGTTGCTCCATATATAGCAATTGTAAGTCGCTTTGAATAAAAGTGTCAGCTAAATGAATAAATGTAAATGTAAATGTTTAAGAAATGAAAAAAAACTACACACTCCATCAGTTAGGGTTTGAATAACCAACGCATTCTCATCCTTTAGTGTCATATAGGTGACGCTATATGACAAAACGTCAAAATACTACGCACATGGCATCCGTTATCGTTAATATAACACGCTGTGATGGGTAGATTTAGGTGTGGGGTAAGGTAGTCTTATATTCACGCCAAAGGATTTATGACGCCTTGGGTTTGCGTGTTATATTAACGATAAAGCGTGCCATGTGCGTAGTATTTTTCCGTTTTGTCAAATAGCGTCACCTATATGACGCTAAAGGATGAGAACGGGCTGGAATAACTGTTGCAAAACATATATCATGCTTGAAACATAATAATCACTGCATAATAATGATCCAGTCATAGATTCTTAAGCATTTGCCTATTTAAATATTCTTTTTTTTTTTTGGCTGTGCAGTGTATTATGATTGTATGAAAAGTCGATGTTGGCCCTGTCCCAAATGGCACACTTCATATGCATTTGCGGTTTTGTGGACTTAAAATGGCCGCTGAGTGCTCGTCCGTTAGGCCCACAAGACTGTAGGGTGTTCCATTTGTCATTTTAGGTTTAAGAAGAGTGCTCACGAGCGCCCCCTTTGTGGCCGTTATGCACACTTTTGCTGAGCCCTCATTGAAGTGAACCCCGCAGGAGACTTCCACCTGACAGTCAAAGCGGCAGTACATCAAGAAAGTGTGGACTCAAAGGAAGATCGCAAGGGCATAGGTTTCCATTTGGGACAGGGCCTTTGAGGTCAACTTGAAAGCGTTTGTCTGGATTAATTATGAAGAGAATCCTGGGAAGTTCTTTGAAATTTCCCTTTTTGTGTTCCACATTAGAAAGGCTTGGTCAGACAGGAACAACACGAGAAAACAGAATTACAATTTTGGGGTGAATTACTGGATCCCTTCAAGTAATTTGTATTCTATCTTTCATCTCTTCGCTTTCTCATATTTTTATGTTTAAATTATGTCTTTACTCTGCATTCCTCTACACCAAAAAACTATTTATCATTCGCCAGGCAAATCCTGGCCCAGGAAAGAAAGAAAACCAGATGCTTACGGACCAGATTAACTCCTAAATAAATCCAAACTTTGGGCTTGAAACATTTTTTGGGATTAACGAAGGAGCATTGGTGTTTATTTTCAATGGCGGGAGTGACTCACGAATAAGCAGTTTTATTTTGTTACACTAAAAATCTGGACTACTGTATTTTGCAACTTAATAAACAGTTTGCAGAACTAGGTCAGAGATACGCAACAGAGTGCGCCTGCAGACACAAACTCCCTAACCGTTTCTGAAGTGTATTGCGAGGGAGTCTGAGCTGCATGGGAAGTAGATACTGCAAAGCCACCCTGAGAACAGGAAGTTGTTTGAGTTCAGCCCAATTATAAGTTGTTGCATTGGAATGTGTGTGTTTAATGCCGACTTAGTGTATGTTTGTGTGTGTGTGTGTGTAGTAGGAGATAATGGTGTCATTTCACACTCAGCTGAATTTGTGGTGTTCCGCAGTGCCAGTTGCTCTAGACTTGATCTGTGGAGTGATGGTGAGCATAGCAGACCATCAGAGACCAATGAGGCAAACACAACAAATAGGACTTTCATCTCCACACCATGTTCCTCTGTATTGTATTGTCTCTGAAAAGAGATCTGCCTTTGCTTTTTAGCAGTGCTAACTTAGCTATGTTATTTAAAAAGAGCTGAAATACTGAGAATAGTTATTTCTAACCAGTTGCGAATGCAAGTCTGATTCATTTTAGTTCATTCAAATGATTCATGAAAGTAAACTGCTCCTAAAATTATTCACCAATTGCCTGCATCACATTTTATGAAATGTCTAGTTCATTGTTCATCACTATTTTTTAGATTTAATTAGGGTGTTTCGAGTTATTTAGTGCATATTGTTCAATGAATCTGAACTGAACCCTATTTGAAGTCCTATTGCTGAACTGAATCAAAAGATTCAATTTACTGGAATGAATCAAAATCTGCTTACGTTTGCAAGAGATACTCCACTTTTTTTTTGGAAATAGGCTCATTTTACCACTCCCCCAGAGTTAAACAGTCGAGTTTTACCGTTTTCGAATCCATTCAGCCGATTTTCTGATATTTAGAAGAATATCAGTAAACAGACAATTTCTGGTGTCATTGACTTCCATAGTATATTTTTTTCCTACTCTGGAAGTCAATGAGACCAGAAACTGTCTGGTTACTGATAAAAATCAGAAAATCGCCTGAATGCATTCGAAAACGGTAAAACTCAACTGTTTAACTCTAGGAGAGTTGTAAAATGAGCCTATTTCCCCCCAAAAAGTGGAGTATCCCTGTAAGTCTTAAAGATCCCTATTATTTGTTTTGTGTTAGCATATCTTTACATTCCCATGTCTGCTTCTGCCTTTTATCACTTAGCAGAGACGCTGGACTGATTGTACCTCTTCATCTCACTGTCACTGTCTCTCTCTCTTTTACAGGTGCTGAAGGGCAGCAAAAAGCTCTCCATGTCGGTGCGTTCTGTGGGCCGTATCCCAGGTGGTTATGTCACGAATCATGTCTACACCTGGGTGGATCCACAGGGGCGCAGTGTGTCCCCACCCCCTGACCTGCTGGCTGAGCATCGCAGTGCCACTCTGCGCAGGTCTAACAGTCAGGGCCGCAGTCACATGCAACTTCTCCAAGACGGAGATGAGAAGAAGGTGAAGGTTCACATTCACAGCAGTCCTTAATCGAGTTATAGCAAGTTTAATGTGTTTACATTATGCTTGTGTGATGAGGATATGACCCAATTCCGATTAAGATAATATACGCCACTGTTTAAAAATGTTTTCATATTTTTTGAAAGAAGTCAGGGTTCAACACTAAGGATTATTTTCTGGGCCAGTTTTTGCTTTTTTTTTTTTTTGCTTGCCCCACCACAAAAAAGTAATAAATAAATAAAATAAAATAGACAGTTAATTTTTTCTGTGTTTTTGATTCTTGAAACCTCATATAAATTTCAAAAATTGTTAAAATGATAGTTCACTTTGAATTTAATTTTTGGTACATGTTGTTTTAGCTTACCTCAAGGGCATCCAAGATGTAGGTGTCTTTCTTTCCACAGTATTTTCAATTTTGATATTTTTAGGTCAAACCGCTCTTGTCTGTCCGTCATATAATGCAGGTCTATGGTCACCACCTCAAAGAGCATGCACAGAGAAGTCCAAATTAAACATGATTTAATTACTCGTGAATGCAAGTACACATTGATGGCATAAGACTCGAAACGTGCGGTTTGTGTGAAAAAAATCGAACAGTATTTATATCCTTTTTACCTTTTGCAACCACAGCCACGTCCGAGGGCCCGGGCGCTTTGTGGCTATTGTAACAAGGTAAAAACGATATAAATACTGTTTGTTTTCTCACACAAACTGCTCGTTTCGTGTCTTAGGCCATCAATGTGTACTTACCTTACGGGTCATTAAATCATGTTTAATTTGGACTTCTCTGTGCGTGCTCTTTGAGGTGGTGACCATAGACCTGCATTATATGACTGACAGACAAGAACGCTTTACCTAAAAATATCAAAATTGAAACTTCTGTGGAAACAAAGACACCTACATCTTGGATGCCCTTGAGGTAAGCTAAAACAAACCAAAAATTAATTTCAAAGTGAACTATCCTTTTAAAGACAAGTAAACAGTCAGTAAAAAAAAATAGAAAACAAATAATCAAACTAGGAGCAATAGCACAAATAAAACTAAATACAGAAACTGAATAAAGTAATCAAATGTAAATTAACTCCATAGTCTTCACTGTATAAATTCATTTTAAAGAATGAGTAGACCTTGCGGGTTTATTCCTACCATTGATCTTTATCTCGCGCTTTTAACAGCTAAAACGCGTTCTGTGTCAACCGGTCCTTACACATGCGCTTTATTTCTAACTGTTTACTGTTTACGTTCATGGCTATGTTTAGTATGATGCAAGCCAATATGGCCATTTTTGTCATAATTTTGTGTGAATATGTCCGTTCAAGCGAAAGCGAACTCAATTCAATATTTGCGCGCTATCCGAGACAAATTGGTTGTGTATTTGTCCTTGTAAACGGTTTGTTAGGTGAAAGTTTCTTGTTCGTAAAGTAATGTTGGCCCTGAATGACAAACAAACAGATTTTAAAAAAGGTGTGGGTGACAGTTAGTTGTTCAAAAACAGTATGGATGGAGAACTTCGGATCATGTGCATGTGCACAAGCCTTAAAAAACTCAATCCTAAAGCTACATTGTTTACAGCTCACCAGCTTCAATAAATGGATGTCATTTTAAGTGCTCTGCTCCTGCATAGGTTGAGTGCAGAAATGAGTTTTCACTGGTGTGCAGCAAGAGTGGAGCGAATAGGAATTTGCCTTGTCTTTCATGAAATGGTGTTTATGCTATTATTTCTGTAAACCAAAGCTCTTTATCTTATTTGTGCCTGCTGATGACAACCCCAATGATGCTGAAGTGCCATTGGACCGCTGCCCTTTTCTATAAGTCATAATTTATCTGCTGTCACGCATGCATATCTCTGGGCTAAACTATCTGTGATCATCTCTCATAGCTAATGGGCACTAGCACTTTAAGAAAAGGGTTTATAAACTAGCCCTGATTTGGTTCACCTGGGAATGGGATGGAGTTTTTTTTTTGTACTTCTGATAAGCGTTTTGTGCTACTTTGATTTGATTGAGTTAAAAAAGACCCAGGAGCAACAAGATGTGTGTGCGTGTGTATGTGGCTGTGTGTTCGATTTGCATTTTACAGAAGTCTTTCTGGTAAACATACACAATGTGTACTCTGCTGATAAACCCTTAATGCCGATGCATTTCCATTTAGAACAATGCCGTCTATTGGGGCAAATCCAAACCGATGGATTAGTGTTTTGGGCTAGGTGTCTTTTTATCAGACAATTATTGAGTATGTATGAAACATTAAGTGGCAGCAAATACAAGAGACTATGTTCCACATTTCCTGCAGTTATATGCAGATGCCCCGTTATGAATTTTAAACTCTGAATTAAATATATAAATCAATGAAGGGTGAGGGGAAAAATTATTTTGTTTTCACATCATTATTTGCCTAAGGAACTGTGAACACACACTGTTAGTCGGATAAATTAAGAAATCAATCACTGAACATTGTCCATTTTGGCTCATTTTAAATGAGAACCTTTTTCTGTCTGCAGCCTAGCACTATACCCTAGCACTATTCCTCACCCCTGTATTTTCTTATACCCTCACCTGTGTGCCAGAATTTGTTAAATGTGATTATAGGGAGAGTTTTATGAGCTGTTCATCCAGGTGTAAATCTTCCAACGCTCTTTCTCGGGCCCTGCGGCCGTTGGAAGCGAGAGCGCTAGCGTGGCGCGCGGCTTCATCAGTACTGAACAGCGCAGCAGAAATCTCCATCGGTCCGCTCTGATTTATACCCTGCTTGCTTGGGTCTCACATCACGTTGAAGCAATTTGCAGGGTAATTCCGTCAAATTTCTGGGTACTGATACAAACGTTGCGTCGAAAGCTCTGCTGGAAGCCAACATCTATTTAGCCTCTAGCACGCTTCTAAAGAAGAATAAAACATAAATATAAGGAGCCATTCATGGGAGAGACATTTATAAATGTGTGGCATTATGAACAATGACACAGTATGGCCCTACGCCACCTTGACCTTTCAGGGATGGCTAGTACTAACCTTTAAGCAGCATGCTAGTGAGCGACAGATGCTTTTGGTGTTTGGAAGTGACGACTCGCTGCCGCATTGATCTCCCAGAGCACACAGGCGCTCCGGTGACCCCGTTTGATTGGCTCTGCTGGGATTCTATGATGCATTCTAATCACAGCAGTATTGTTGCTTTTGTTACCAGGTCGTGGGAGTCACATTAGTCCTTCCGCTGGTTCAGCAGATCTGCCATTCGCTATGGCGCATGGGTTGTTATTTTCGAGAATTATAGTTGTAAGGCGCAGTAATGGGTGCTCTAGGTTTGAGAGGTGAACTGTAACAACACATTGTGTTTGGGAAATATATTAATTTCCTTGTCGCACCTCAATGTCAATGCCTCATTTCAGAGATTTGTTTGGGTGCGTAAAGCAGCCTGTGTAATGTATTTGGTAACTTATGGCACTCTTTAAAGGGTAACTTAACCCCTGGTTAGAGCCTGACTTCACCAACTGGCAATATTTGAAAAATGCTAAAAAAGTGGACAGACAGACCCCAGCGGAGATAGGGGGGACGAAATAGATGCTAAAACACTCTTTACTGGGGTGCGTTTCCCGAAAGCATCGTTAGCCAACTATGGTCGCAAGTTCCGTCGTTATCAGCATAGTTCAACGAGTCGGTGTTTCCCGAAACCATCGTACCAACAAACATACGCAAACAGCATCTCGACCTGTGGTTAGAAGCATCGTTTCTATATTCCATGACATTTGGAAGTAATAAATCCTTATCTTGAGCAAAATAAGCAAGCTGACATTCAGAACAACCCGTGCCTTTTATTCAGCATACATACAAATGTAATTTACATCTTTTAGTTTGTCAAAAGATTTAAAGTACCGATTTTGAAGAGTGCGCATGTGCGAACTCGTTTGGCGATAAAGCAAAACAACTAAGAACAATTAGAAATATTCCTCAGATGACATGTCTGTAATTTATATTAAAAAATCTAGCGTTAATTGGATCTCAAAAAAGTAGTTATTTCTCCACCACATGCGAAACCATCGTGGTTGAACGATACTTTGCGACAATGGGTTTCGGGAAACAGTCGCAACTAGCTGGTTGATTTCTCCAACGATGCATCGTACTATGGTAGTGAAGCAGCGAGTTACATCTTTTCACGAGAAACGCACCCCTGATCGTTTTCAATACTCGCAATTCCAACTCCTGACTCGCAACAGTGGTTTTGACGAAACAAGCTGGTTTTTATACTGGCAAGGGCGTGGTGAGCTGAAACGTGCGTACGTCACGAAGAACCGCTAACATCCAATAGGGAAATTTTACTGCAGTAGCCACCGTTCAACCTGAAGAGGGCAGGACTAAGACGTTTTTACACCATATATTGTAGAAATAAAACACTTTATACACAAATGTCAAAAAAGTTACTCGAGTCAATGACTGGTATTAATAAAGATCTATTCTTATAGATCATTAACTAAAAAAAGTTGGTTTAGGGTTTAGTTACTCTTTAAAATGTCTGATTGTTATTGCATTAGATACAATGTCAAACATGTACATTCGTTTTAAAGAAATAGAGGACAAACTGCAACGTTTCAGGCTGAAGATGAGGCTGGTGAAGCGCATCTAAATGCAGCAGATACTTTATTAAAAAAAAAATCAAAAAGAGAGCAATCCGCAAATGCTAACACCAGACAATAAGTGAATCGAAACGAGGAACAGGTGTGTGAAATCAATTAAACAATAAATAACCATGATAACCAATGATAAATGTGCTAGAAACCTTGACAACAGAAAGGATTCATAGGAAATAATAGCAAATGATGGCAAAGCTGAATTTTCAGCAGCAAAAATCGGTCTAATATGCTAATTTTGGTGCTCAAGAAACATTTACTATTATTATACATTTTTAAAACATTTTTATAGTTTAATTTTTTTGTGGAATCTAAGATGCATATATTTATGAAAATATTCGGAGACACAGAAATTACACTTTGATTCAATTTATTGCATCCTTGCTGAATAATAAAAAGTTTAATAATAAAAAATATATAAGTTATTAGTTTGTATTGTTTAAGTGTGAAATGTATTCATTTGATTTAGCTTTCAATCAGACAATGCCTTCATCTTCACAGGTAAATTTGGTGCTGGATGACGGCCGTTCTCTGGGTCTCATGATCCGCGGAGGGGCTGAATACTCTCTGGGTATCTACATTACAGGTGTAGACAGAGCGTCTGCAGCAGAGTGTGGAGGACTGAAGGTACACTTTATGCCTTATCCTTTCATTTGATGTATTTTTATAGCATTTTTTTTCTTAATTTGTTTTTAAAAATGTGTTTGTTTTACTGTTGAGAGTGTTTCACACTCCTGTAGCCTATCTTTCGCTCTCATTTCATGCATTATTTGATCCACAACTCTGACATGTTATTATCAAGTTTATTTTCTCTTTTCACATATTGAAGCTTTTAAGCTTTTAGTTTTTTGTTTTTTTGTTTTTTATCAAGGTTTACCTACATTTGTGAGTGGGGTCCATGAGTAAACAGACTTCACAATGTATTTGTGAAAACGCAAAAATAGGTTTCTATGATGGTTTGGATTAAGGGTAAGGTTAATGGTTAGAATATACCATTACCTCAGTGTAAAAACTATAGTAGCCAGTGAAAAGCCCCTACCAAGATGTACCGTTCTTCCTTTTCCCACTATCCAACAGGCACCCCATAAACCTGACAGTTTGTTGATTGCTAAAACATGTTTGTATATTCTGTCTAAAGTGTCTAGCTGGTTTTACTCTACCTGCTTTCAGTTGAGCAATTCCGTTAAGTGCCTTTGTGCGTGATAGATGAAAAAAAGAATTATCTGAGTTCACTGTGAACGTCGTGTGATTTTTCTCCAGCTATTCTCCTGTTTAATAATAGGCCTAGACATCCTGCATTTATTCCCTTTATTCATTTTTGCCACAGTTTGCGATGAATATCATTATTATGTGGTGTTAGAAAAAGTTTTAAGCTCTTTTCAAGCTGACTGTTTGCTTTGTGCCTGGCCTTTAGATTCATGTTGGGATTGAGAGAAGGCAGTTAAAAGGGAGGGCGATCCAGATGTGCTTTGTGGAGAGTGAGAGAGAGAGAGTTGGAGAGAGTGTTGGATGTTTTATCTCCAGGCCATATGTCTGTTCAGAAGAGAGATGTGAGATGGATTTCTGGGCGGCAGCGGACGCGAACATAAAAGCAGCAGCATTTATCATGGCACTTATATGAAGAAAACCATGGCATATTTATAATAAACACATACAGTACTGTTCAAATGTTTGGCTGGGGTCAGTGATATTTGAAAGAAATTAATAATTTTATTCTGCAGCAGAAGCATTATTTTGTTAAGAATTCTTAAAAATATATTTCCGTCTCGACAGAAATATTAACTGTTTTCAACATTGATAAAAAATAAGAAATGTTTCTTGAGCAGTGAATCAGAATATTAGACTGATTTCTGAAGGATCATGTGACACTAAATACTGGATTAATTCAGATTTTCCATCACAGGAATAAATTACATTTTAAAGATAGTAAAATGGAAAACTGCCATTTTAAATTGTAATAATATTTCACACAAAAAAATGGAGATTTGGTGAGCATAAGTGACTTAAAACATTAAAAAATCTTACCAGGCCCAGACTTTTTACCGCTAATGATATAGTTTAACCAAAAATTAAGATTCTGTGATCATTTATTCACTCTAAACCTTTTCTTTGACACACAAAAGGATAATTTTTGAAGAATCTTTACACTGCTAATTTCCATGCATCATTATGAAAAGTGAAGCATTGCGTGTGCAACATGGACTATTTTTTTTTTTTTTTTTTAGGGTGTTATTTTGTCCTTTTTGTAGCTTTGCAGCTGTGGTTTCTATGAACTTTCTCTGTAAAATTGGCAGGTAAGCCCTCGAGTTTGAGCCCCACTTCAGAGTGAGAAAATAGCTTTCATCCAAATAGCCAGACACTCAGAGTGATTGTGTTATTATAGTGTTAGCAGCAGATGAACCCGTGACCCGACACCCCGATATAGACACACAAAGAGAAAAACACAAATGAACAGAACAGATCCGATCAATGGAACCAGGTGGATGAGACATCTATTTCACAACAGGTCCCATGAGATGGATGTAAGGCCAGGAGGTCTGTAGAGAGGTTTCTTTCAATATGTGCAGCTTCATATATACTATCCTGCCAGAAAATAAGTATACAAATTGGTAATGGCAACAAACCCCTATTTGTTCAAAGTAGGAGGAGGAGGAAGTGATCCATTTTGGAATTACTGGACTTCATAAATATTAATGCTGTGTGTTCCGTTCAATTGAGAGAACTAGAATTTTCGACTTGAATCAAATTTCCAGTTTTGAGACTTTCAAATCAGAAATCAGAAATTGACTTCGCCAATATTTGTCGTTTGATGGCATGTTGCATAGCAGAGACAGATTTTGATGTTAAAGTACTTTCTGTTAACCAGTGCTGGGGAAGCTACTCAAGATTTAACTACAGTCAATCTCAAATTCTTTTGAATCTTGTTAGCTACAAAACTACACTGAAGCTACATTGGGAGATATATATCAGAATAATTATCAGATTATATAATTTATTGTTACAATAAGTGTTTATTTTACGGATTTGATTTTTGCCAGTGACTTAAATCTTTTGCTTCAGTTCACAAAAAATTCCTAAATTAGTTTGCTAGTTAAAGTAGAAACACCCTAATTTAAAAAAACATAAAGTTCCATTTGTTAACAGTAGCTAAAGGCACAATGTGTAAGATTTTTTGCATTATAATATCCACTAGCACAGTGTTATATACTTTGTTGACTTGTGTACTTACCAAATTTTTACAAATCCAGAGAAATTTGCAATTTTAACTGTTCACTGTTCATTCATGGATTTCCATCGGCTGTGGAGGTGACAACAACTCCCATCATTCCACGCTCTTTCACAGCATCGTCAAGCTACACCTTTATTATTGTTTTTAAAATGCAAATTCTTACATACTGTGCCTTCAACTACATTATAGTTACAGTAACATGAACTAACGAGTTCATTAAGAGTTTATTATTCTTAGATAATGTTAATTCCAACAATTACTAATGTATTATTAAAATCAAAAGTTAATGATCACAAACAGCCATATTACACTGCATGAATGGTATTATTCGAAAAAGCATAAAGGGAAAACTTAAACTAGGACCTTATTGTAAAGTGTTTGCACATTGGGTAATGCACAGTGGTATTTCACTGAATATTTGGCAATAAAAACAAAACAATTCTGTGAATTGTTTTCTTGAACACGCTCATGTACAAATGAAACACTCTCCACTATCAGACTTTAGCAGACTTTTGCTTTAGCTCACTGTGTTTACAATACAGTGTGACATTAACAACAGCAAGACAGCATTTTGTGACACCCATACTTGTTGGAAGATGTAGCTTGTTAGATTTTGAAAAGAGCTACTGAAAAATGTCCAACCTGCATGCATGTCTATATTCTTTGGAACTCAAAATAAAATATTTTGAAAAACGTCTCAACGGTACTTTGTCTGTACCGTACATTGAAAGACAATGGGTTCCAATGTTGTTTATTCCACGCTGCCATAGAAGATTGTGCTTATCACACACTCAGCATAGTGGTGATGGATGAATTTAGTCTTATCTCTGAAATGATTATGACCGCAGTATCACATTCTTCCACAGGCAACATCAGCGCTTGCTGTTCTATAAACAAAATCTGTTGTCCTATATCACTTTTTGCATTTATCTTTATCTCAAACCCTGGGGTTTAAGGAGTTGAAGCTGAACCAGAGATGTTAGAGGTCCTTGAGGCAGATACAGCTCATGGAGTTTTAATTGGATGGAGTAATGGGCTTGCGCACTGAGCGGTCTCTGGTCCTCAGTGTTTCTGAGCACAAAACCCCCACTGACCTCAGAAGAGCTGGAGTTAATCAGTGTGCTCTCACTGAAGCCTTAACCTCTATTTCTCCTATCTTGGATGTGCTTTTCTGTGATGCTATTATTTTATGTATACTGTATGTCTTATTGTCTGTGCTTAATTTATACTCTCACTTTGGGCTGCTTTTATAACTGTACTAAATGGATAATGAGCAATGCAATTAAGGCACTTCTTGGCTGCAGGATGATATGATACTTTATTAGGGGAGAAGTGTTGTAGTTTGTAATGGTCATATTTATCCTGACGTCGTCATACTCAGATTCTAGTCAGAATGTGAGTCTGATACTGCTCCATTGGGTTTTGATTATGGGGCGTGTTTCAACCGAACCAGGAAAAAATTGGATAGACCAAATCTCGGGTCGTAGGAAGGGCGGCAAAAACATATTTTTTGGTCGACAAATGCCTTGATCGCGGTTATCTGTTCCTCTTTTAAAATGAATGCGCTGTCTACATCTTCTATAACAGACGCGATGGCTGAATCTACACATTTGAATTCTACGGCGGCAGCCATTGTTTGTTGTAAACTAATTCAACCAAAGCGCTCTTTGGTCACTACGTTACTGTTTATCATCTGTCCATCATTGTGTTAACCCCACCCTGACAATTTGATTGGTCCGAACAGCTTTGGTTCGAACATACTTGCTTCACAACGGACCGAACAAGTCCAGACCGAACTTCCCATCCTCAAATGTTGTGGGCGGGGCTAAGTTCGGCTGGCATCCAGGGTAGGTCATATTACTAAAACCCATAATAACTATAAAGGCTTTTTAGGACTTTATTTAACACAGTTTTTAGTGAAACTCAGCATTTTGAAGAGTCACTGCTCCATTAGCTGATATTCGTAACCGGAGGCCTATGAGATTCAGACACAGATACTAATTATTTTTCATTCAATAAATGTGACACTGTTTCTTTCTTGTTTTTTTTCCACATCTCTCAATCAAGGCTCTCAAAAAAATGTTTTATTTGTTTTTTAATTTAATTTAATTCAATTCATGTATTTTTTTTTTCTTAGAATCTGTCATTCTCTTCTAGATAAAATGCATACTTTTTTGGATAAATTGCATTTTAATTAATTGATTTATTTTACTGTCGAGTAAATTCTTTGACAAGATCTAATAAATTTAAAAAAAAGTTAAATTGAGTTTAATTGAAGTTTCTTTGAAAGTCTGAAGCTCATATAATACGTATAATACGCAATTGGGAGATATGAAGGCAAAATTGGATGATATAAAGTCACATTTGCATGTTACAAAGCTGGAATTGTGAGATATAA